ATCTAGTTGTAGAGTAACATTAACTTTAATTCTTAACTTTTAATGTAAATACATGTACCTAAAATTATACAAGCCCACGGTTTGTTGACGCAGAGGACCAGGGGTACTTTGCTTATACATATACGTGTAATACTAAACAAGAATTATATAATTAAGAAAACCATGTAGGTTCGTGCACAAGCGTTTAATGTCACTAGGATATATATTACTAATATAATATGCAGAGTGCCTTCATGCGAAAGTGGTTTATGTTTTATCTCGAGTCGTTTGATTTTGTGGTATAACAATGAATAAATTTTTAGCATTCCAATTTATTTTTGTTTGGAATAGAGAGATCGAGTTAAACATTTGTATATCTTTAAAATATCCAGCGTATTCCTTATGTAACTATATTTTAGATGTAAAACTTATTTTTCATATCAGGATACATGCGACAAAAAATCTCCTAAATTGATACTTCAGCCTATCTCTAAAATATATATAAAAAAGATCCGATGTAAAATGTGTCTCTAATAACATGATAATTATATATAAGCGGATACACATTCGATTTGTAAAATTGTATTAATGGATACACACTTTGAACATTTGTAAAGTAAAACGATATCATTATTCCACCATACATGTACATGTAATCTTGACATTGTCTTTTTTTTTTAAATCTTGAATATATTGAGCTAATTTTGTAAATTGAACTTGATGAGATTGAGATTAAGATCAAGTTCAATTTGTGTTTCATGTCTATGATTTTAATTTTTTTTTGTGTGGATTTTTAATTTTTTAGAGGGGACCTTAGGCCTGTACAACAGATACAACCTATCGAGCGCTTGGAAACATATCTGTTGGAGGTATGCAGAATTTTAAGAGCGCTTGCAAACGTTCGCCCTGTTGAACAGGTCTCAGGTTTCCCTTGGGGACTAGTATTATGAATGCAATACTCTCAGAATGCTAGTTATTTTAGATTCTTTTAATTCTAAGATATTTTGTACGCTAAATTACTTCTGAATAGCTTTGATCCTATTCTTTCAAAGGTAGCAAAACAGTAGACCGATGGACCTTAGAACATCGATGTAGTAGTTCTGTGTCCCTTTTCACAAAAAAATCTTACGACTAAGACTAAAATTTCCCCCACTCTATAACAAATATCTAAGCTTCGAAAATTTTATTTTTTCAGTAACAATTAATTGATATTTTATGATTTATTTGTCAGTAATTATTTAGAAAAAATATACTTATTAAATGAAAATTATGGAGTGGTGAAGTTTTAGTCGAAGTCGTAAGATTTTTTGTGAAAAGGGCCACTGGTCTGCAGTAACTGGTTCGTTAATTCTTCCGCCAAATATCAACAGGAAAATGTCATTCCTATCACACGCGAAGGCATTATCTTCATATGACGTCACGTGACATAGAGCTAGATGAACCGCTTCTTGTCTGATATGAGGACGGGTATTGGAGGTAAACCGCATACATCCGGATAACTTAAGAATGAAATATATTTCATGGTTAAATGTTTACATCCAGGTATTTAAAAAATCTACTTTTCACATAACTTGACTATATACATTGTGGTCATTTAAACATTTTAATTGCATGCTGTTGTTTCTTTGGAGGTTTTGGGGCGTAAACTCCATACATCTGTGTATATAATTTAACAACTTTAACATGCTGAATACTGTTCGTTTTCTTCATATCCTTCGGTGCTTTCATTTTTATAACATGAATACAATATTAAAAAATATTTTGTCAAATTTCTGTAATTTGCATTTGATTAAAGAATTGATACCCTTTCATTAAAAATTATGTAGATTGTATTTTTACTCCTATGATAAAAAAGTTATATATATTTTTTTGCTTACTACAAATCTGATTTTTAACTTTAAATTAAAAACTGATCATTAAATCTGGAAAATATATTTCTGCTGTGTATCAAAATTGTTAATTTTTAATTTCATTCATATACATTATGTTCCTTTTTTATTCAAATTGAAATAAAGTTTGTCATGGGTTTGCTTATGCTCGTCAGAAAATACTCTATCGTTACATATACCGTGACGCAAAAAAGAGAAAATATTCCCTTCATATGTCTATTTAATTTGATACAGCAGATCAAATTTGATAATTTTAGAGCATGTGGGATGTAAAGCATCAACTCATATTGTATCGGTGGTGTTTACAATTTGAGGATGATTTAATTTTTTTTTTGTCCTTTTCTGCAGAAGTTGATCTCAACGGTTCATTTGCATTTCGTGCCAATGTTTTGACATTTGACGACAATGAAAGACTCATTTTTGATAATTGGACACCAGTGACGTATCAGAACTGGAATCCTAACGATGAGGGCGAGACAGCAGTTGACCCAATCTTTGGCCTCCTTTTGACTTATCATAACGACGGCAGGTGGCGCTGGGTGACTGAGAGAAACTACACGTACTATACAGGAGAAGACGGACTAAAGCTTTCCTTTATTTGTGAGGATTCTCCATTTTATTTGGAGCATGAAGAGTGTTCTGTTACATAATGATTCATTTTCTTTTAATTAAAATAAACATTTGCAAACATTATATTTTTATATACATAATTTCATTAAGCATGGTGTAAAAAGTTCTAAATCATTAAGTGGAGTCTTCTTAAGTTTACTTCGGATCGATTATTCGTCTCCTCGGAAAAGATCTATATTTATCTTTATGTTTTAAATAAACTATGAATAGCATACACAAAGAGAGACTGTACATTATATCGCTTCGTTATCTTCCCAAGGAGACTTACACCAGTATTTCTTCACACCATACATTTTAGCACTAAGTGTTATTTTTTAAAATTAATTTCCATCCGTAATCCAAAAAATAAGGTACAAATATATCTTGCTGTGACGATCGGTCCATCTGCCTGTTTAATTGTGATTTTTTTTCTGATTTATCTGTAAGTGGGGAAATTAATTAGCCCTGACTGCAGCCTTTAATTGGTTTGAGCTATGAATTTCATATTTCACAGGTGTATATAATATAAAAGGACCTATCCTTGGGTTAATTTTTTTTTCTTTTTTTGACTTTCATATGAGAATTTAAGCCTGGATCAATGAGCTATGGTTTTAATATTTCACTGGTGTATTCCATGTGTAAAAACGTTTCGTAGGGTACAAGTATTTTGATTTTGATCTGTATGTTTGACTCACTTTAAGAAAAAAATTCAAAATTTTTAACTGAGCGTAGCTATTACACGGTTAAATCAAGAGATATCATACTCCTCACGCTCGTATTTTGATAAGACCTTTTCTTGAGTACAAGCAGTAATGACCTTTAACCTTTAACTTATGGATTTGACCTACTTTTCAAAAACGTTAACTTTGGACGTATTTACTGAATATTTAGTGCTAAGGGTTAACTATTTTAACTGTTCATTTCTTGTGGTAAGAGCTTCTCTTGAATACCAATATTTTCTTTTTATTTTTTATCCTTTTATTTGGACATCAGACTTTTACCTTCTTTTGAAAAACCTTGGTGATAACTTTTGAATGGTTGATTCCGTGACTTTTATATTTCACCTGTGTATTCTTTCTGAAATTCTTTTGGGTATCATCAGTATTGACTCCTTGACCATGTCCAGTTTGAACAAGTTTTAAAAATCTCCTACTTTGGTCTTTAGTACTGAACTGTCGCTGCTTATTTGTTTTTTATTTTGGAAGGTAGACTCATTGTGAGGAACTTTTCTTTTGGTACCAAAACTACTTTTATATTGACCTTGGTGTTTGACCTGCAAACGACAACATTTATCATAAGCCTCTTTGTTTCACAAACTTTTCTTGAATTTTTATCATTAGCTCCTAAAACTTTTCCTTTTGATTTAATAACAAATTTCAAGTTGTAGTCAATCAAATTTTTGGATATATATATATATATATATATTTACATATCTACACACTGCACAATAGAGAATGACTTGTCATATTGAATCATTCTTTTTAAATATATGTAGTCTCATAATTGCAAAAGGATTTGCAAACATATTGATTAATGTTAGGTCGCTAAGTTTTATTTGCAAAGGCAAATGCAGATATAAGATAACATCTTTAAAAAAATAATGAATCAGTGCTTATTTTTTTTCTCTAACTCCTTGTCTTGTTTTGTAATTTGATTTTTTTTCTAACTTACTTGATTTATCTCTAACCTAAATAACAATAAATTAAAATGATTTCAAATTTTGATTTTCGCTTATTTCATTGCTCTTGCATAGCATTTATTGAATGGCGGACACCACAGTAAAATGTATTGCAAATGTGTTGGATTAAACAGGTTCCACTGTCATAGGTTTGACAATAAAGTAATCTACATCTTTATTCTCCGTCCAGACATCTTCATTTATTAGTGTGAATAACAACGAAATATTTCTAATTTCAAATTTATTACAACACATATAAAGTACATTTTTTACAGAATACATTCAGTAGAACAAAATTACAATAATTTATTACTTTACATAATCCTTCATCCCCTGAAAACGTATTTGTTTAGTCACTTGATGTCAAACAATCTTACAAAAAAAGAACCCCGTGATAAATGTTAAATTTAAAACCCTCGTCTCTTTAATCAAAATGGATTCGTCTGATTGATGGATGATCTTTCGTCTGTTAAAAAAAATTAAATTAATGTTTCACAGAAATAAGAACATATTTAACTTTGAAAAGCCTCTTAAAACTTTTTGAAATTTTCACAGTAATACAACAAAAACTCTGCTATATTAGGATTTAATTATGTTTACCTAATGACGTCTGACCATCATAGTGGTCCCCTTCACTGACGTCCCCCACTCTACTGTGGGATACCATGGGTACTTCCAGGACTCCGGGGACCACTGACCATTAAGGAAGGCGTAACCACAGGCGTTAAACCACCAGCCTCCTCTTTTGTTACTTTGAGCAGCACAGGTACAGATACACCCGTCATTGTCTCTGTCCGGGGTAGAGAATGGCATCCCGAACAGATCCCAGTAAGACTTACCTGTTTCTAACATAGCGTCACCTGTAAAATAAAACAAAAGGAATCATAGAGATAATAGATTTATATATCGTCAGTCTAATTGTCAATATTAATACTGAGGTACTTCTAAGATAGACAGCTTTAGGTGCTGGAAAGGGTGATGATATTTATTTAGTTCAGTCTTTTAATCCCCCATGCCTATAATACTGGCACCTGAGGAATTAAAGAAAATATAAGGAAAATAATAATTATTAATTTACATCACATTAATTTTAACACTAAAGTACGTCTGAGATACACAGTTTGATGTCTCGATTCTCTTAAAGAGAGATAAAAATAATGCAAATCAACAAAACACTGCGGAATTCACAGAGCATCCTTTCTAGTGTAACAATAAACAACAGACGTGTTACACTTTTTAAGCATGGTATTATTGTATTGGGGGGGGGGGGGTAAAGGTCACTGGAAATTTAAGAAAACATCACAAAATGAAATTTTAATATTTGTCCGAGAACGTGCCTTCAAACATGTATAACATGCAATACTAAGTAAATCATTAATAACGAGATAAGATATGGTGTATCTGTGAATGTTTTAAGATGGTAGATTTCCTCTTAAATAAATGGAAATGTGAAACGGGTTTAGGTCTTTAAAATTTGGCTTGTAAGCTTTTTTTATTTGAATAGTTATCCGATCAATTTTTTTTTTTATCTTCAAATGTTCGTAAACTTTTCGACATTTAAGATTAATGACGCACTGTAAACTTCCTTTCATAGTAGTAAAAAATGTGAATCATTGAAAATCAGACTAACATGCTCTGTAAACTTTTTCCGTATCAGTTCAAATGTGAATTATCAAAAATCAGGAAACCCAAGCTGAATAACAATGTTGAACAAATGTAATTATTGGATCTATTTGTTTAAAAAAAATAACATAATTTTCCTTGTACATAAAATGTATAATTAGAATTAATGAAAAATTCAATATCTGCTGAATATGAGAATTGTACCTGCAAATGTTATTCTTAAATATTAAACATGTTTAATTAGCGTGGAATCAAAAACGTAAACAGAATATAAAAAAAACCCACATCTCTCTCTTTTTTCAACAACTTTATAATCTGTCAATACAGAAAAGAATAATTATGATGATATACGTAATTTGAACCTAATTTTAAGAACCTAACGTGAATACGCAGACCTAAGGTCCCCGTGGCAGGTCCTGCTAGAAAGAGTTGATATTTCCCTGCTTCGTCGGAGACAGAGAATCGGTCGTACATTTCATACACCGTTGTACCATTCTGGAGAGTGATGGACACATACAGGGATGAGGTGTTTTCTTTTGTTAATTTATGGATTACGTCATTTCCTGTATTAAAATGTATTTGAAATCATCGAATACATTTAATTCTTTTAAAATCTATATGAATCTACCGTAATGAAAAATCAAAATATTTTTCATAGCTGTAGACAATATTGCTAAATTTGGTTTCATTAGAATATGCCGCTAAATGCCGTGAAATGATTTTCTTCTTTTTCTATTTTTTTATTATTTGAAATATCAATTAAACACGATATCTGAATATCATAGAACACGCATTACCTGGTCTTAACTATTACGCATTATAATTGTTTACTTGCCACAAGAATTTTTTTATCTTAAAACTTTGAAGGAATAAAATGTTCTTATTTGAAACCGATTTACACTTACCAATCCAGACGTTCTGTTCTGGTGAACCAAATCCATTCTTATAATCTGTCCAGTTCCTGTCAAAGGTCACGGATCCGTCTACGCGTTTCTGAATTGCCTGTGAAAATTAACATTTGTAACAATTCAATTTATTGTTTCGAACAACATAGGATCCATAGTTTATGATATAAACTACAATATAATCCTTAAAACCACCAAAACAAGGTGTGTTATATTTAGTACTTTTAATTAAAAATAAACGACCTACCGTCCATCCACCGCCCATTGTGGTCATTTCGCAGTAGACACTTAGTGGAATGGTTAATGTACTGTAGGGGTATATAGTATACACCCCTGTGATGGTTGTACCGTTTTCTCGAAGATCCTTGCAATCTTTGGGCATGCTAGAAAAATCTAAAAAAAAAATTAAAAGTACAAGAAACTTGATAAAAAAATCGTGTCCCCTCGAGAACGACCTAAAAAGAAACCCCAAAGAAGCTACGAGAATAAAAAAAAACCCAAACAAAAAGAAAAAAAAAGCAAATATACATACCGTTATTCGAGTAGTATCTCCAGCCAGCCTCCTCAGACGTATCAGACGTTAGACTTTTCTTGTGGGTTCGACATTTCTTCGTTTGCGAATTAAAACCGAAGAAGACGCACTCCCTTTGACACATTGCGGCGCACCCAGTTAACGATTGGGCATTATATTCACCTAAAAGGTCATTATTTGACTTCTTATCATTAAAGTCAAGTTTCGCTGTGTATTTCTGAGAAATAATGGTAGCTTTAGATAAAGCTAAGAAGCCTACAATTAAAGTGATAACCCACTGATTGCTCATTTTTTTTTGTTGCCCAAAAATTTGCCGCGTTCTTGTGAATTCTGCTAAATGGTCTTTCAACAGCAAGATATATATATTGTACCATAACCAATGTCTGAAAAGTGATTGGCTAACTGTTACGTATTCTATATTTCACTATTGTTTAAGTATCGATTTTATTGAAGTTCATATAAATTGCCATGAATTATCATAAACGTTTATTTTGAAATTGCAATTTAAAATATAAAATGAAAGGTGTTCTGTTTTTAATTTAGTTAAAGCCTGTTATGTTTTGATGTTGTACAGTGTTTTTATTAGCTATCTTTAAAATATGTAATTTTGATATAAATTTCCCTTCATCAACTCAAACTGAATGAAATTGAAAATCAGCAATTTTGTAAAATTCAAAATAAAAAATATCTGACTCTAAGCCATTATTAAGAATTTATTGATTTATTTCAACTTTGGTACATTAGCTTCTAAATGTTCATGTAACACAGTGACTATACATCGTCATTAGTTTATTTACTTTTGAATCTTAGAGAGACGTACATTTGTAAAATACAATTATCGGATAATTCTATAAGAATGATTTTAAGCGCGTTAAAAACTTTAAAAAAAAATGAAAAGTACTTACGATAGATGTTCAAAATAAAGAATCGTAATACGTTGTTAAAATGACATAGGCGTCAAGACCGGAGGGAGGGGGGCCTTAACCATTATATAAACAATGGTAATTTGGATTTACCTTTTTTTGTTGATTTGCCCCCCCCCCCCCACTTTCAATTTGCTTCCGACGCCCATGAATGAGACCCAGATTGGTGAATTTCTTTAAGGAAAGGGATTTATATAAGTTTTAAAACGTGTTTCTGAATCTTGTTTGTATTATCTACTGTGTATATATGATGTTTAATTTCAATGACATAAAAATAAAATGGTGAATAGCTAATGTTGCACATGTATCGCACACTCATTATTTTAACTTAAAAAGGCAAGTGGTCTTTGGGCTTGTAAAAATAATGCTTAATCCGCACAGAGACACAAACATATTTTGTACAAAGTGCAAGACATATGGGGTACATGTAGGCATGACGTCACGTGGGGTTACCTGCAGTGTTCTTTCTATATTAGTCGCAAGCTAGTATATGGCCCTAACTCTCAAACATATCATAATTTCGAATTTTCTTAATCAAATTTCACAACATAGGCGGCGGAAGCAAAAAAAAGGGGGAGGCTAATTAAAAGTGGGGAGCTAAAGCAACAAAAAAGGTAAACCCAATTTTCAATACCTATATTATATATATATATTTGCCAAAAAAATAATATAATGTATACTTTCGTCGCGCTTTGTATTAAATCTACTTGATTCGTACATACATAAATTCAACTTGCATAGACGAAAACGGGAAACAACTTAACGTTGCCTTTGTGACGTAACTGACGTCATAATCGAACGTGCACAAAACAGCCACTCGAATCGTCAAAATTGTGTACCAAAACTGATGACAAAAGCAAACCCGCGACCTACCTGAAAACCTTCACTAAACAAGTTGGGTGTAATATTCATTAACAAAATGATAAAAATAAAGATTAAAGGTCATGATGTCGTCTTTTTAATACTGAAAAATCATATATTTTTGAAGTTTCAGGAATATATATTCGTTTATGGGGACTTGATTTCGTGGATAAAGAATATTTCAGAAGTAATATATTTGTAAAATCGATATTGTGATGGACGTAAATTCGTGGGTCTTTTTTCATACCTTGAAAACCACGAAAATAAATACCCCAAGAAAAATAGTGATTTACAATCAACTGACGAAGTTTTTTTTTTTTTTTTTTTTAGAAATAAAGGTTTTGATGGATTGTCATAGGCATCATCTAAGATACAGCGCCCTGTCCTTTTCTGTAACTTATGAATCCTCCCGAGGCTAGATATTGACGCATTACCTCAAATTGTGAAACTGTATTCAATTGATGACATTATATAAGCATTATAGAACAACTTTTTTGTATTAATTGGAAGATATTTCTTAATCCTGCGTAATACGGATATTCATCCAGATACGGATTAACACACAGCATCTATACATGTATTAAAATTGAGTGAATTATCAATATGAATTCAAAGTATTTTTTCAGCGTTTGACTTATTGATATATTGTATATGCTGACTTCAGAGTACTTGTGTGTACAATCCAATCAGAAGGATTTTAATCAAACTGTAAATAAGTTAGTGTTATTGTAAAAAAAAAAAAGCTTTACGGTTCAAGTCCAAATTACATGTCTGAAATATTCCATTTCCAATAATCTAATTTCTACCATTTAAGACCTAATTCTAATTTTGACTTGTGTGTTCCAAAGAACAAAAATGAAAACTCAAAATTCTTTTCAATATTTGCTGGCAGTATTATGGAATAATTTATCTTTAAATGTAAACATTTCTCCATCATAGACCAAGGTTCAACTTAAATTTTTATATAATTGAATATTTAAGAACTGTATTATTAATTTGATAATGCATTTATTAATATATAGTATGTTGTGCCATATGTTACATTGCTGAATGTACTATTAAACATTGTGTATTATCCATTTTTTAAAGAAGTCATCAAGGAAGAATAGTGCTCGTACTAACTGAGTCACCCTCTTAAAATAAGGTATTATTATTAATAATATTAGTCAACGTCAATTACCAAGCTGTATATCATTTGTGATGATAAAAACATTGAAATACATGCTTTCATCACAAGGTATTGTTTTGTTGGTGGGGAACTTCCATGATTTCTACAGTGATTTACTTATAGGGAAATATATACAGATTGTTAAAGCCCAAAGTTTCCTCAAACAATATAATTTAGTTGCTGAGCAAACATTGACCTTTCAAGCATCTAAGTAATAATCAGGTGCTATGGATGAGTGAACATTCCCAGCAGACCGTCACTCACTCCGCTTGCTCCTAGTTATGATAAAAAAGTAAAAAGCTGTCGACAATTTAATACGAAAATTATGTCCCTACAATTACTATGAAGAACAACAGTCAGTATTTCACTTACCAGCTAATAAAAAATTCTATTTGATGGCAAGAGCATTGGATCCACTCAATTAAACAAATCACAAACAATGACAATGTTATCATCTGCTCTGTCAACTGGAACCAGTACATACAGATTGGATAATCTATTTAATTCTTTTCACGTATGAATTATTTAACTCAGGAAAGGAAAATGTCTTCTACAATACAGACCTATGTCCCTAAAGGTAAATACATGTAATGATGAATTGTTTGTTATCATTAATATGATATGATTATAGGCCATTTAACGAAATTTTAAGACATGGATCAAACAAATATCAATGCTCAGGATTATGTGTTAAACCAAGTGCTGAGTTTGAAAAGGACGCATTGACGTCACTCGTATTTCAATAATTTTTTTTTCACAAAACACTAAAAGGATTCCATACATCTAATTAAGCAAATGAATCAAACCTCTTTTTAAGAGTATTTGGTTTTTATAAATATTAGACTTAAATAAGCCCACATAAAAACAAACAAATGACATTGACATTAAATAAGTATTGGGCAATTAAGCAAATTGATGGTTATATAATTAAGGAGATAATCAACCAACTATCCCTCTCTTTCTTTCTATCTCTCTTGTATTGTTATCTGGCCCTTTAATTTTATTTTGTAAAAATCTGTATTTTTCTGTAAATATTCCTCTCATCGGCATCAGAGAACTGTTGATAAAGTTCATACAAAATTCGTAAAAGAATGTGACATAGAAGTTAGAGTTATTCGACTTTGCCAGCTGATGGATATCATCACTGCCCCCTACAAAATGTCATTTTTAGTGTTTTAAAAATAAATAAAAGAATATGAAATTATTGCATTCAAATGTTTGCTCAAAACGTAAACATAATGTAAATTTGAAGGTTATATCATTATACAAATATGTCTTCATTGGGGAAAAATGTGTTCGATTGCTGAATTGTAGAATCATAATAATATAATATGTATTTCATTGAATTTTAATTTGTAAGATTACATGCGTCAATATGCCAACAGACACAAAATGTTGCTTATGATATTAACTAATTACCCAAACCAATTCTTGTAGTCACCCAAGTTATGTTATCTACTGATTCACTCTACAGTTTCTGGATTGTCATTAAGGTTAACAATGATAGATTTCCTCAAACTGAATTTGTAAAGGAACGAGATGTAATGTTTTCAGTTATTTTCCTCCACCTTTCAGTGATTTTTCAGTCTCAATTAAGCGCTTTTTAAATGGCTTATTAGTTTATAATCAGATATTGACTTTAAACTACTTTGAATTAATTTATTTCCCAATCTTAACTTTTTTTCTCGTGATAAAATTCAGGTACCTTAAACTGGTACTCACGGTTAGGAAACACGCCTTAAAATATTCCGAGAAAATCAAAATATTATTGATATTACTTTATTTGCATGATTTAAAGCATGAAATAAAAATTCTACAATTGTGTATATAAGTATTGAGTCTCTGCCGAGTTCAGCCAAAGCGACTTCATTTACAAGTTTGTCTTGTGACATGTTTAAAATTAGAAAAAAAATATATGTATTTCTACAAAGATCGTAAAGGTTCGACGATATACGGAGAACTAGTCTTTGACGTCATCTCAGTCTGTGCAGCGAATAATGTAATAATGAAAAGATAAGTGACATATTGATTTATATTTATAATATTTATGAGAAATGACTGTATGTAAGAGTGTATAAAAAGAAAATAAGTATTTATCCCCCAAAATTAATCTGCACATGTTTTTTTGTGAGGTCATAATAAATTTCCTAAAGCTCTGCATAGACTATTTCA